GTTAATATATCGTTAAAAGGCTGCAGGCGTATTACAGAGTCTAAAGGGAACTACTAGATACTCGTATATACCGTACCTCGTAGTGAACGCGGTCTTCTACTTATTACCGGCCTTAATGCGGATTATATTAAAAGCTGCGATAATATCGAGAACAGTAAACTACTTAGCTCGTACTATACGTACTAGGGTCTCTCTAATCTGTAGAATAGGATACCTATCCTTTAGGGTGATCTTATTAATTGCTCTATAGTCGACGCAAACTCGGAGACCTCTACTAGGCTTCTTAACGATAAGGACCGGTAAGGCTATACAGGGCGCCGCCTCTCTAATCGTACCGTTAGCTTTTAAGTCGTTAACGTGCTTCTTAATTACTATATTCTCTTAGCCGCTTGCCGGTCTCGGTCTAGAGAAGGGCAGCTTAGCTCCTTCTTAGAAGTCGATAGTAAGATCGATACCTTCTCGATAGGGCGGTAGCTTCTTAGCTCGTTCTTGCTAGAAGCAGTCCTAGTATTCTTAGAACTCTAGCGGGAGGAGTTGTTTAACGGATATCTCGTCGATAGGCGCTTTACCCTTTATATAAATGCCTACATCTTCGGATAATAGGGAGCAAGCGTAGATCGCGACTACTGCAATAGCATCGTTAACAGAGTACGAAGAGTCAGTAAAGCCCTATATAAGGTAGCCGGAATCTTCCTTGTCTTCGAAATAAGCCTTACTAATAGTTATGTTAGCGATCTGCGGTATTAACTATGCCTAAGGGGCGTATATGTCGGAGGTAAAGGAGGGCGTCGTAAATACTAGACTATAGTCTATAGTTTCACATTTAAACTAATAGCCCGACCGGAGAGTAATAATGCCTACTGCTTAGTCGATATCGGTAGGTCGATGTCTAGTTTACTAGTCGACGCTAAGGATAAAGTCGTACTAGCTAATATCGGTAACCTATACGTTAATTTTCTCCTTTATACCGTTAAGGTCTAACTCGGTATACAAGACTTGCTTAATCTAGCTACTTCCGGCTTGCTTGTAATTATTAATGCCTAGCGGACGAGGTAGGCGGGTACGATTAGATAACAGTTTAGCCTATCGCGGATGCGAGCATATAGACGTATAGCCTAGGTCGATAAGGATTCGAGCGAGCCTGTTGTCTGTAAGGCTAGTAGCTACGATATGCTTACCGACTTTCGGTAGGAGGCTTACGTCGACGTATACGGCTAAGGAGTCAAGAATAGTAGGCAGGTCGCTTAGAGCTATAATAGCTTGAGATTTTAGCGATAGAGCTCGTTTCGGAAAGGACGCCGTTAGGGCTATAAGAGAGTATTTAGGAGGGTCTTTGCTAGGTATACGGATATGTTTAGGTTTACTCTAAGTAGTATACTTGTACTTAGAGCTTACTCTTTTAACTAATCCTCGTAGGTAGATAGCGGGTTCTCGATAGAAGTCGCTGCATTCGTAGGCTTCGTATTCACATTAGTGCCTCTGCCTCTACGGTTCTTATAGAATAGGAAGAGAGGGCAGGCAGTCTCCGTACGCCTATACTTGCTATCTCGATAAGCAAAGTAGGTCTCTCGCGACTTAAATAAAGCCTTAGTAATCGGCTTGTATTCGTACTTCTTGCTATTAACTGTTACCGGCTAATCGTAGTTATTACGCATATCCTCGTTAGTCTAGTATAGTATCTTCGACGGGCGCTTATTATCGTCCTTATCCTTGTCCTTGTCCTTCTCCTTATAAGATCCGCTACTACCGCTACCGCTATTAGATTTCTTCTATAGCTTCTAGCGGGTAGTATTAATATCGAAGATGCGGAGCTCGTCTCGTATAGTATAGAGTATATCGAAGAATTTAGACCGAATAGATTGCTTAAAGCTATCGTTAAGCTTGTCGCGCAAGTTGTCTATTATTTCTTTATCGTTGTTACTAAAGCTAAGGAAGGGCTAGTAATAGATAAAGCGAGGCTAGAAGTTCGAGAAAGATTTATCTTTTCCTTATTAGAGCTTCGTAAACTTAGCGCGCTTCGTATACTTCTAATACTAATTACCCTAGCGTTCTTCTATAAACTTAAAGGCATCTTAGTGCTTAGTAAACGAGTGGATAACTAGCTCGAGGTAGTTGAAAGCATTAGAGGTAGTGTTATTAAGTACGGCTCGGATCTTCTTCCTCTTAGACTTCTTGCTCTCGCCTAGTGTATATAGTATCTTACTCTTCTATTCGCGGAACGGCATATCCTTATCCTTAGCCTTATTATTAGCCGCAAATATAGCGGGCAACTTAGTAGACTTGTCCTTACGCTTGTACTTGCGGTCGCGGCTATTATAACGACCTCGGTATCGACCTCGGCGGTCTCGGTCGTACTCGTCGGACTCAGACGTAGAGCTGCTTAAGGAGCCTAGATTATCGTCTTTATCGCTAGCGGCGTACGTATTCTTAAGTTCTTCTCGCTAAGTGCGCTCTCGCTCTCGCTCTAGGCGCTTCTTAACCGGCGTATTGCGGGAGCTCTTAGTAGGAAGCGTTTATTCGCGCTTGCGACCGGTAGTACCGGTGCCTCTATTCTAGCGTATAGTAAAGTAAACGTTATCGGAGTCTTCTTCGAATTAGGCGAGGAGGTCTTCGTTATCGGTTTATAGCTTGCTACGGCGCTTCGGGGTATTGCTAGCATTAGCTTTAGCAATAGTAAGTTGTTTTTCTAAACCTTTAACCTTCTTCTAGAGTTGCTCGATCTCTGTCTTATCGGTATCTCTAATAGAACGGTACCGGGCAATACGCTCTTTAGCTTTCTTTAGCGCTAGTTCGTAGCGCTTACTCTTCTCGGTCAGCTCCTTTAGTTAAATAGTGTAAGCGTTATTAGCATTCTTTAGGTACTAGACGCGAGATATAGCGCTATCGCGTTCCTACTTCGCTTAATTCACTTCATTAATAGTCTGTTATAGAACAGCAGGTTAGTCGGCCTATAGTAGGGCAGCATTGTTAAGGAGGTCTAGCTACTTATTAGGGTACTTTTGCATACGCGTAGATAGGTCTTATATATCGGTGATATCCTTAAAATATCTAAGGTTATAACGTAGCACTTCCTCGCCGCGTAGATTCTAGTCGCATAGTATCTAGTCCGTAAGGTCTAGAGTCGACATAGTACGTGCGCGAGTGCCTTAGTCTAGATTGGGCTGAATTCTGCCGGAGCTAGTGCTAGCTGCTAGTATATATAGACGAGATCTTATTCTTAGGGCCTTTATAGACCTAACTAGGGAAGGAAGCTAGGAGCTGTTTGCGTCTTACTTACGTCTAGCCTACCGACCGCGACGCTTCTAAGGTAGGTCTTCCTCTTCTTCGAAACCTTAGATATCCGGCGGTAGAGGCGGCGGAGCGGGCTTAGTCGGGGAGTCTTTAAGGAAGCGGGCATCGTCGATATTAGGATCCGTGCGGCTAGTATAGCTTATACCTATAATCTCTTCGAGCTCTTCCTATATATACTGCCCCGGCTTTAGCTCGCCGATCGGAGCGTCTTCGCCGCCTTCCTCCTCTTCCTTATCGGACTAATCGTTAAGGCCTATATTAAAGTCGAAGGAATTGTTATCGTCTTCGGGGTTCTAGGCCGATTGCTATTAGAGAGTCTAAGACTAAGCAGACTACTAAGTGTTGCTATACTATAGAACTAGCGGTAGAGGTATCGAGCCGTCCTATTACTACTAGGACATATTGTCCTTACCTAATAACTTATTATTAATGTATACGAATGTATCTTCTAACTAAGAAGAGTCTATTCGAAGCACTAAAGACTAAAGCACCGTACTTCGCTTATACTATACCGTTTATATAGCGACGCGCTCCGGGCGTTAGGCCTGCGTATAAGTAGGACCGGGATACGACTACTAATTACCTAATAATAGCCGTATCTCGATCTATTTAGGGATCTTCGAGAAATGTTAAGGGCGGTAACTAAATGGTTTAAAACGAGTTCTCGAAGATGTCTATCTACGAGAGGCGCGCGAGAAGCGTAAAAACCACGGCGCTAAGACTTGATACCTAAGGCATCCTTAACTAGGAATAGGAGGGTTACTCCGTAACAACGTTCTATAGAGCGACGAGTGTGCTATACGTAATAGATTATACGAGAGGCTCTTTATTACTCGACTAGTTAGTAAGCGTAACTAAGACTACTATTCGAGGCCTCGCTTCTAACGCCTTCTATACTAGATAATATAGGCCTATATTAGTAGTATTAGCGGCAAAGGACTACTCCTGCTATAAGATAAGACGTAGGGCAATATTAACAAAGAGTTATACTATAAGAAGGTCTTGCTACTAGTTTAAGAAGAGATTAGTCGTATAAATAGCCTTATTACTAACTAAGAACACCCTCTCGGTTACGAGCCTGCCTTGCACTTAAGAACAGCACTCTTCTAATAAGACTCGGCGCCTATATATAGAGCTAAATATATACTTAATTAGTTACGAGCTCGCCGTATTATTCTTATAGACAACTAGCTACTTTTATTACTAGATTTAAACCCTATCGAGAACCTATAGCGAGTAATTAAGTAGGTAATTAAACGCTATAGAAACAGACCTACTAGCCGTAACCTTTAGCTAGCAATTGTCGAAGAATACTATAACGTACCTATAGAATTAGTATAATAATAGATTAATAGTATGCCGGCTCGCTATCGTATAGTAATTAACGCTAATAGCGGTTAAATATAGTAGTAGATAGTATAGCGCTTACTTAGTTGTCTATAGTTGTCTACATTCTTTAAACTAGCCTTCTATACAGCTTTAAATACCCTCGTTCTTAACCCTAATCGTTACTAAACTAGCTGTCTATACGGCTTTAAACTAGCCTTCTATACGGCTTCTAAAACACCCTCCTTCTTAACCCTAATCGTTACTAAACTAGCTGAAGAACTAAAGTTCCTAATAATCGCACTAATTAGCTTCTAATACCTAGGTATACTATACTTTGTATAGCAAGCGGTGCCGCTAAGTAAGGGTCGCGATACCCTAGAATGCATAAGCGCTCTTTTACTCCGATGTGCGTTGACGCTGTAGTCAGTGGTATGTATTTATCGATAAATCGAGGAGATCAACAGTTGGAGCGGGCGGTTATGATAATGTAGATGTCTATGTGGCACTGCATAGAAGAGTGTGATGCAATATGGCTTGGCTTGGCATCGATTGCGGCTTCGGCGGCCGGAGGCCGATGGTTTCGTCATGATCCGAGCTCCAGTCTTTGTAGCCGAGAAGTTCGCTGGACGGGAAACATTCTATCATATTACACTCTCTTGATCCCGCCCACCACGACGGAGAGAGCGAGGGCATACACCGAGTCACGAGAGCATGGTCTACGGACGAAGCCAGGCATGGCGAACATCGCTCCAGCAATCGCGAGCATATACCGTTGCCGGAGCGCCATGTAGAGCCTGCCAGGCTCAGCGGCTTGCGCCCAGTCTTCCCTTGCATAGGACAATCCCGCGGTCTTATCTGCCATCAACCACGCTGCTATCATCACGACACTTTTCTACATCGCCAGCAAGGAGAAAAGACAAGACGAGCGAGGACTTCTTCACCGCACTGACTGGGAGACCTGGCAAGAAAAGCGAAGACGCAGAGGCCAAGGAAGAGAGCACAAGCGAAGCGATAGAACTAGACGCGAAAACGAAGCCTTCTGAGCCGACGCCGATACCGAGCGATGGCAAGGCACCAAGCGCTGGAAGTGGTGCGGGTACTGGAGGCGAGTCTGGTAGCGGAGATGGTGGCAACCGCAAGAAGGGTGGCAAGCAGAGCAAGGAGCTCACAAAGCCCCAAGTGCCAGATGTCTACCCGCAGGTGCTAGCAATTCCGATTGCGCAACGCCCGCTGTTCCCTGGCTTCTACAAGGCAATCACAATTAGAGATCCGAATGTCATCGCAGCAGTTCAGGAGCTGTTGAAGCGAGGGCAGAGCTATGTGGGCGCATTCCTGCTCAAAGACCAAGAGAGCAGCCAAGATGTCATCAACGACCCCAGCGAGGTTTACGACGTGGGAACTTTCTGTCAGGTCACAGGCGCCTTTCCTGCTGGACATGGCGAGGATAAAGCTTTGCAAGCCGTCTTGTACCCACATCGGAGAATCAAGTTGAGCGAACTGATCCCACCCAACCGAGGCGCACCTGCAGCCCCAGAACCAGAATCACAAGTGGCGCAAGCGACCATTGAAAGCGCAGTGCCATCAGAAGAGCAAGGCGAGAAGCCAGAGACGGAAGAGAAGAAAGGTGGCGTGACAGCAAGCTTCGAGGAGCAGACGCCTGAGAAGGAGAAGGAAAAGTCTGAGGAAGGGGTCAAGGCTGCGATCCAGCCTACGGACTTCTTGCGATCTTGGCCCGTCAGTCTGGTGAAGGTTGACAATCTCAAGGACGAGCCTTTTGACAAACGATCGGAGACCATCCGAGCACTGATCTCTGAAATCGTGAATACTTGCCGCGAAATTGGCAATGCTAACCACTTGTTCCGAGATCACGTCTCTGCTTTCGCCATGTCACAGTCCGCCGCGAACATCGCCGACGAACCCGCCAAACTTGCAGACTTCGCAGCTGCTGTATCAGGAGGGGAGATGGAGGAAGTGCAAAGCATTCTTTCTTCCTTGAACATCGAGCAGCGTCTCAGCAAGGCGCTAGAAGTTATCAAGAGGGAGCACATGAACGCGCAACTCAGCAGCAAGATTTCAAAAGATGTGGAGAGTAAGATTCAGAAGCGCCAGCGAGAGTATTGGCTCTTGGAGCAGATGAAGGGCATCAAGCGCGAGCTTGGTCTGGAAAGTGATGGCAAGGATAAACTGGTTGAGAAGTTCAAGGAGAAGGCCACCAAGCTGGCCATGCCTGAGCCGGTGAAGAAGGTCTTTGATGAAGAGCTAAATAAGCTCACCCACCTCGAGCCTGCTGCATCTGAGTTCAACGTGACGAGAAATTACTTGGACTGGCTGACGCAGATTCCATGGGGTCAACGAAGCGCCGAAAACTTTGGTATCCAGCACGCTCGTGATGTCCTGGACGAAGACCACCACGGTCTGAAGGACGTTAAAGACCGCATCCTCGAGTTCATTGCTGTTGGTAAGCTTCGCGGCACTGTCGAAGGCAAGATTCTTTGCATGGTCGGCCCACCTGGTGTTGGAAAGACAAGTATTGGCAAATCGATTGCCAGAGCTCTCAACCGACAATATTACCGCTTTAGTGTCGGTGGTCTGACTGATGTCGCCGAGATCAAGGGTCACCGAAGAACCTACGTCGGTGCTCTGCCAGGCCGCATCATCCAAGCCTTGAAGAAGTGCCAGACCGAGAATCCGCTCATTCTGATCGATGAAGTTGACAAGATTGGCCGTGGCCATCAAGGAGACCCGTCAAGCGCACTGCTGGAATTGCTGGATCCTGAGCAGAACAATTCTTTCCTCGATCACTACATGGACGTGCCTGTGGACCTTTCAAAGGTGCTCTTCGTGTGCACAGCCAATATGACTGACACGATTCCACGACCACTTCTGGACAGAATGGAAATGATCGAGCTCTCTGGATATGTCTCCGATGAGAAGATGGCTATTGCTGAGCGTTACTTGGCACCACAAGCCAAGGAGCTGTGCGGTTTGAAAGAAGTTGACGTCAAGCTTGAGCAAGAAGCCATCACCGAGCTCATCAACAAATACTGCCGTGAGTCTGGTGTGAGAAATCTCAAGAAGCAGATCGAGAAGGTCTATCGCAAGTCAGCACTTAAGATCATTCAAGACCTTGGTGAGGACGTTCTCAGCGAAGATAAGGCACTGACCGACGAAGGCAAGGCAGCTGCTAAGGAATCCGAGAAAAATAATTCCGAAGTCAAGGACACGCCTGAGAACATCGAGAACGAGACGACTGAGAAGCCACGTGTGGCGCTCAAGGTGCCCGATTCAGTGCATGTCACCATCGGCAAGGATAACTTGAAGGACTACGTTGGACCGCCTGTCTTCACTTCCGACCGACTTTACGATGTCACTCCCCCTGGTGTTGCCATGGGTCTTGCATGGACGTCAATGGGTGGCGCAGCGCTATACGTGGAATCCATCCTTGAGAACGCGCTGTCATACAACTCACGACCAGGCCTGGAACGAACAGGAAACCTGAAGGCCGTTATGAAAGAATCAACACAGATTGCATACTCGTTCGCGAAAGGACTTTTAGCAAAGCAGTTCCCAGGTAACAAGTTCTTCGAGAAGGCACGGATACATCTGCACTGTCCCGAAGGTGCCGTACAAAAGGATGGTCCTAGCGCAGGTATCACAATGGCTACCTCACTATTGTCCCTGGCATTAGACAAACCTTTGGATCCTACGATCGCAATGACCGGCGAATTAACAGTAACTGGAAAAGTGCTCAGAATCGGTGGCCTGCGCGAGAAGACGGTCGCTGCACGAAGAGCAGGCGCAAGAATGATCATCTTCCCTCGGGACTGCATGAGTGATTGGATCGAGCTGCCAGAGGTAAGTCTCAACATATATCCACAACGCTTCACGTCTACTAATTCTGTATCAGAACATCAAACAAGGCATCGAAGGCAAACCCGTCGACTGGTACTCCGATGTCTACGACCTCGTCTTCGCAGACGTCGATAAAACCACCGCCAATGAACTTTGGAAAAAAGAGCTCGCCAAGCCACCGAAAGAGGAACGCGAAAAGGAAGAAGATGATTGAAAGAAGAAAGAAGAATTACCAGCCTCTTTCTTGTAAGATAACTATATGTTCACCTACCTGTAGTTACGCGACCACGTCAGCATTGGGTGATGGCGCCCTGGGAGTTGCCATGCCAGAGCGGATGTCGAATTTCCTTAACTCCGCTCTTTGTACATATTACTCGCGCCGCAGCCCGCCGGGGGAGGACAGAGGGCGGTGGGAATGACTTAGATATCAGAAGTAGATCATGCATGTAAAGTGGAAAGAAAGAAGGATCGTGAAGCATAAAGGCCGCCTTGGTACTCACAAAACATTCACTCGTTTCATAGCCCGCGTGTGATTCTCCGCACCGTGTCAGTCAATCAAACGAAGACGATCAATCCTGTACAACCATGCATGCCATGCCATGCACATCTATAAAAGTTCATATACACAAACAAGCTTTCCTTTCTATTTCTTCCCACATGATAATCAATCAACCAGCATTATCCGCCACAACCTCTGGCGGCGGTTTCCCATTAAGCCCACCATTAGCTTCCTTGCCCCGTTTCCTCATCCCATCACCAGAACTCCCATTCGCCGTAATCCGTACCACCACATCATCCTCCTCCTCCTCCTCGTCCCTAAACTCCACCCCTCTCACGAAAACTTCCGATAAAGCTTCAAGTCCTGCGACAAAAACACAAAGCACACTCGCGATGACAAACATACTAATACTCTCCCCAATCTCCAACCACGAACCCTCATCCCTGACTTCCCAGAAGAAACGGAGGGTCAAGTAGTCTCCGATTCCCATGACTACGGCGAAAAGTGATCCGCCTCTGAGACGGAGTCGTTTCGTCAGAATTCCAAGATTGGCGCTTACGAGAGCAAACGGAGCGAGGAGTTTGAGGAGGAGGAGGGCGCCTTGGCTGAAAGGATCGAAGACTGGGATGAGGCGGTAGACTGCGTCCAAGGAGAAGGAGGAGACGGATGCGATGTTTCCGGTGCTGAAGAAGGCGGATTGGAGAAGGAAGAGGAAGAAGAGGCAGATTCGAGCGTCGGAAAGGGTGAGGCTGCGGTAGTCACCTGTTGCGAGGGCCTTTTCTCGTTGTTTGGCTGCGGATGCGGCGGTGTTTAGAGGTGAGTGGATGTCCTTGAGTGCATCGCCGGATGAGCCGTTGGTGAGGCTGGACGTTACTGAAGGTTTGCTGAAGGATTGGTGGATACGATGTTCGAGACGGACCCAGGAGACTAGGGTGATCGAGATGGCGAAGTAGAAGAGTCCCTCGTATGAGATTGTGAGAATGATGAAAAGTGGACCGAAGGCAAGGAAGATGATTGCCAAGCGGTGTAGATAGTGATCTCGAGGTCGTAGCGCGTGTAGGAAGGGCACTGTCAAGGATGCAACTGTGATCATCGTCAGCCAATATGGACTCCTGGTATGTCGCGAGACAGAAACGACAGGTGATTAGCAGATCATTCTATGTCTGGCCCATATCATCGCAGTATCATTATCCCGCCGTGGCTCCTGACAACTGACGGCTCCATCTGGAGACGTCTGCCGGTGCTGGAGATCAAGCGTGGAGGGTGGCAAGTCCAATGGTGGTAAGCCTTCAAGACCCGATAGCCATTTATGGTATGGTATGGCCTCGCCGGACGAATTGCAACGATGATGCGAGGTCTCCTCCGAGCACCCATCCAGCTGTGGTGGCACGCGGATGATTTCGTCTTGCAGAGCGATCATGAGTAGCTTCCGACGAGGGCAAGCATCTGCTAGATCCGACCAGAACACGACATCATCTGTTGCGACGCGCCGTTTTCGATCGTTGCAGAATAGCTTGTGTGGCAGGCGAAAGCACACCTCTGCGATAGCGGCCAGGAGGAAAGCCAAGGGCAAATATAGCGTCAGGAAGAAGCCTAGAGGAATTCGGGTCTGCCATTTTAGTGCTTTGAATGACTTCCAAGGATGTTCCAGTACATTGAGCACATCGTCCAGTTTTCGGGCCTCCTTGACGTAAATGCCCATTCTCGGACGCTTTGGAAAGGTTGTGGAGAGGCGCCCACGACGATAGCAAGCAATATCGGCATATAAATGAAGGCAGAACAAATGATGCAGCGGAAGAAGATAGCGCTGCATGTGAGAGTTGCATTCAGAACAGAAGGGAAAGTGGCTTACCGAGTGTGGCCCAGCCCACGATCTGTGTCCCCAGTGGAAGGCCCGCTTTAGCTTGCAAGGAAGCTACGCTCGACCTTGTGACCGCGATGGCAAGTGCAACAAGCCCGACCTGGGTGGGAAAGTCAACCTCCCGACATAAAGTTCTTCATCGATATTACTTACCTGCACTCCGAGGATTGTTCTCGAGACGCCATCAGCGCCAGCAGCGGCCAAGCCAGAGTTAGATGGCGCACACTGGACCAGCAGACTCTTCTCGAATGCGATATACAGCACTCCCAGCATGAGAATGAGAAAGCCTCCAAGCGATCTAGAGCATGAAGAGTCAGTGCAGTCTTAGGCTGTTGACAGGATCGCCTCACATGAGATTGGAGCTTTCCACTTTCATAGCTGGTAACAAGGTGAAGATGCTCATGGAAACACAGCCCAGTGCCCAGGTAGCGCAGAGAAGCCAGTTCTTCTGGACAAATCCGGCACCATACAGCACAGGCCATACAGAGCCCGCAAGGTAGAGAATGGTGTAGATCTGACGATGGTAATAGCTTTGTACCTGTGAGGAGGTCAGTCTGCGATTCCGCCACTATGCAGTTGAGGTGCCGTCCGTACCATGACTTCTAGAAGGGCAAAATATGCTGCCACATTCAATGCCAGCTTAGTGGCATCGGCTGTGGTGAGTTGTGCGAAGAGCTTGTTTCTGCCCTCAATGAGTGCTTGTCGGCGTGCGAAGACTTCTTCCCAGAAGGCCACTGGAAAGATGGCGTAGGCATAATACGTGATTGGTGACGACTCCACGAATAGCAGGCTGAAAAGAATGACGAGAATAGAAGAAAATGCAATTATATGCCCCGTGGATCTTGCTGGCTCAATCTTGCCGTCTAACATGTAGACGTCCACGGCGGTGGTGAATGCAAAGGCAATCCAGCCTGCGTAGCCTGCTGTGACGAGAGTCCGGAGGAAGAGCCAAGCATAAGTCTGCAGGTATCGCAGTCCCTCCAGGCCAAGCTTGATCAACTCGTCTGATCGGGCGATGGCCTGCTTGTACTCACGCTTTCGGATGAGCTGTTCGATGCCTGCGAGCCTGTTCTCAACACTATGCTCGGCGTCGGCAAAGCCAGGATATGGCTTGTAGCGCAGGACTGTGGCCATCTTCTGTCGCTCCTTGACATGATACATTTCCAGGATCTCTTTGGAGTTGGTCAACATAGCTTGGGCTTTCTGCTCGTCGGTCGCATCAAGGAAAGATAGTGGAAGCTCTCCCACAGAGTTCACAGGAAACTCGAGGCCGGCCAAGTATGCCATGAGTGTAGCCACGTCGGCCTGATTGACATCATGGCGTTGCACATGATCAAGCCTCCAATCGTGTGAGAAGCCGTCTTCGTGTCCCGGTGCTTTGCCTCTGCGGACGGTGTTCGGCTTCGCGACACCAGATCCCCAAGCGATCAGTGGTGTCCTGGTGTTGTCTGGATGTCCGTCACCATGGCTCCCCCAGTCGCTCATTCCATGGTCTGCTGTGAAGACAAAAGCGGTGTCATGGTCGTTGTAAAAGTTGTTGATGATCTCCGTAATCTCCTGAACACCTTTGTCAACTATCTGAATGTTTCGCAAGTATTCTCTCGAATACGGACGATAGGCGTGTCCTGTCGTGTCCAACCCCAGCAGATGCAGGAAGAACACTATCTTCTCCTCGTTCAATTGCGCATTGAGAACGGGATCGGTCTCAGCATCTTTGAACAGCTGCTTCACACGATCGAAGACCCAGTGGTCAAGCTCCGTGGCATCCTTGCTGAAATCCTCAAATTCATGGCCATATGTGGCATCTGTTACTCGACCAGGAACAGCACCAGTTGAGAACATAGGCAAGATATCTGGACTTCCCCAACTCCATGTGTGACTGCTTCGATTAAAGACGCTGTCAAAGTTGACCGGGTTCAGCTTCCACCCTGTCGCGACCGCAGAGACATCCTCATAGAGTCCCGCTATTAATGCGACATGTCCAGGCCGTGATTCGGTGGGTACGCGAGTATGAGAGACACCGAATGTGCCATGTTCGAGGACGCGAGAGCGTAGGAAAGGTGCTAAAGGCACGAGCTCATCTGTCGAAGTATCGTTGGCGGGCCTTGATGGATCGGGGAAGAATTGGAACGCTTTGTCTGCTCGGAGGCCGTCGCCTTCGACATAACGTCAGTATGGTCTGAGGGATGGCAGTACTGTTTGGCAGCATACCAACATAAAGGACGAGTCGCTTGGCGGGTGCTGTGGGCGCATCGACTCCGTAGGCTCTCATTCCACGCACAATGGGTGAGACGAAGTAGATGTCGAAGATGGAGTAGGCGTAGATCAGGTGGAAGACGACGGCAATGCCCAGGAAGCCCAGCCGACCGAGCCTCGCCATGCTGACTGCTTGCGCTCGCTGTGCTCACTGCTCAGCGAGGGGAACATGAAGTGAGCGATTCTCCATTCTCGACCATCCCGTCCAATACCATGCGCGTAAACGTGCATGCCGCGAATCCATCAAGGTTCCTAGAGGATGCAGGGGTGCGCGCAGGTGCTAGCCGCTTTGGAAGGTGCCGCATTGCGACAACACCATACAGTACTCCTTCACGCTAGTTGCACTCTCACATGCATACATATCTATCTATATTCGCGGGCCCCGATACTAGTATATATATATATATTCCCTCGCCCTCACATCCATTGTTGATCACCATCCATCTTCTTCCCGCCAGTCGCACTCGCACTCGCACTCGCTCCCTCCCTCCCATCACCACCCGTCGGTCCGCCAATATTCGGCACAACCGCAATCAACTTCTTAAGCTGAAGCCTCCTCCTCTGCGCCTTATTCTCACTCCACCTGGCCTGGAAAGTCCCAAAAAGACTCGGTCTCCTAGAATTCAAACTTTCCTCACCATCATCACTCAGTCCAGCTTTACTGCCATCAAGCGCCCGAGCAGGTAGCGCAACATGCGAAACTTTGGTGCGGCTGGGCGTCAGAGGAGGAGATCTAGCATCATCGAAATCCGCCCCGCCGAGAGACATGTCATGAGATTTGACCGGGCTGGGGTACAAATGCGGTGATGTGGGCGAAGCTTTTGATGACACGGGTGAAGCGCCTCGAATGTCGGAAGAGCGTCGTCTGCCGTGCCGCGTTACGCCCTTTACGCGCTCGTAGATAGTCTTCTTGCTCTTTTCTGAGCTGCCGTTGCTTGGGCTCTTCTTGTGAAGACTGGATTTGACTGGATTGCTTCCGAGAGGTGACATTGGTGTCACATCTGGCGTTTTGACTGCGGTCTTTGGTTGCGCTGCTACGATTTCTGGGGGGAGCAACTTCAGGCCGGGAAGTTGAGCAGTTCCGGCATTGCCATCGATGCTTGCCTTAGTCTTTTCGAGCTCGCTCTTTTTCGAGCTTGCACGTCGCATTACGTGCGGGTAGAACTGTGATTCTCGGCTATTCTTACGATCTTTATGCTTTCTGGCCTGCGTCGGCGATCCAGGTGTCCTTGGTATCGGTATCGATGTTGCGGCATTCAGAGCTTGAGGCGACGTGTCGCTAATGTTTGTGGGCGGCGAGATAGGTATCATTCCAGTCGTGCTCCCTCCGCTACCCCGATTATACAATGACGACGGAGTAGGTGAGATCCGAAGAGGGAAGCTACTGGAATGAATGGACTCCTCGCTCTTCGTCCTTCTGTGCGAAGTGGACCCGGACGTAGCGCCACCAGGACTACCACGAAGCGCACCTGACTTCCGAGCAGGCTGCTTACCCATGAATAGTGGCTGCGGTACCATTTTCATATGCGTGCTGATACTGTCGTCCGAGTCATAGTTCGGAGATTCAGAGGGCCTGTATTGCTGGGCCAGAAGTGCATTGCACTGGTCGACCAAATTGCGAGGTTCACCTTCGCGGTCAAATTGGTAAGTCCCGACGCTGGAGGAGCTCCTTGCTGCCTTGGGCGATTCATTAGTGTACTGTCGGCTCCTCCGTCCCCTCTCTTGCCGCCGTCCACGTTCAGCATCGTCCACGAGGGCTGCGTGCTGCCTGTCCTCTGTAGATTGTCTTCGCTCCTCAGCGACAGGCGGCACCATAGACCTCACGGGTCCCGTCCCGACATGAAATGAATTCTCATAGGGCGCCTTGCTGGGTGCAGGAAATGGGAACTCTTGATGCGAAGTGCTGACAGAGGGTGTAGCCAGCGGCGTCGAGAGCAGTCTTTGCCTACCTTGATTGTCCACCAAAGTTGCGACCGTGAAGAGAGGCGGGGCCACAGGTGTGTGCACCCCTCCCAGTGCCTCCAAAGTAGCCATGCGCACATGCCCGTGCAATCTCCCTCTCTCGACAGTCTGAGCTCGAAGCTCTTCTGGGAGCAGTCGCACCGCACCGGGAGCATCTCTTGCTTCTTTCGCTTTCTCCAGGGATACCGTCTCTATCTTTCTCTTCGAGCCAATTGGAGGAATTACTGCTGGTGGAAGAAGTGTAGTTACAGGCCTTGAGTGAGTAGGCGAGGTAGGATCCGTCACTGCGCTTAGAGTTGGAGAAGGAGTATTGATGAGCGGCGAAAATACACGTGGCTCGAGCAATTGACCAGATATCCTGCTCAAAAGATCAGGAGTGCTGATACTATACGCAATAGGCCTGTGGTGTGCGAGAGGAAAGTCATCATCAAGGTCTTCCGTCCTCCACGATCGGTTCGAGTCTGTGGCCCACTGGCTAGGAGTACGACTGTAGACGCTTGAAGATCTCCTTCCAATTGAGGTATTGGCAGATGTAGTAGAGTCCTTGCGCACCGGGGTTGGTGGAAGTGGCTTATTTGGGTCGTGCTCGAGCGGTGGCGTTTGCCTCAAGAATGCCTGAAATGACGGTACCGCCTGATTCTCAGTGCTGAACGAGAATTGAAAAGATGCCGCACTCGGCAATTTCGGGTATTGGTTCGTAGTCGTCGGGGATGGCGAGCCTGAATTTCCACTTGGAGGCTGCTTGAGGAGCCCGGACGGCATATTCCAAGCAGGATTTGGTTTGAATGTCGATGCCGGCCTCGCATCCACGTACATGCTGAGATTGCCATCTATTGAAGCGTCAGGAGATCATCAAATGGCGAATAGGAAATCTAGAAGTCAACAAAGAAAGCATACGTCGTGCTCAAGCTCGTTGCGTCAGGACAATGAGAAATTGCACAAAGGCATATATCCATCGAGCCTAGTCTGGATCTCAAGGTGAACGCATTCTGGATTGTGTTCACAACACAGCGCCTTGCTAGGCTGGGCGTTCTACACCCAATCTTGGTTCGTTGACCGCCGCTGGTCTGACACTGGAAAGCCCCGAACGCCTGGTGAGGTTCAACTTGAATATCTCATTTTCATGTTTTGGCTACCGGTACAAGGCATCATGATCGCTATCTCGAAGTGGTAGCATCTCCGGAATCGTCTCTCGTCGCACCGGCCTTTTCAAGCTCCTCAGCCTGTGGTGTCTGCGGAATGTCGACTAGCACGGCAGGATCGGCTTGACGATTTAGGATCTGTTGAGCACGTCGCTAAAGAGCTGTGAGCATTGCGCATGAGCCGTTCTGCGGGTCATACCTTTTTCTCAGCAGGACTCAACCGTGGATCTGCTTCTATAGCCTCCAGAGCCGTAGCTTTGGACCCTCGTCGCGCAAGCCGAAGGGTTTCGGGAGATGCAGGCGTGCTATCGAGCTCTACGGGCTCATTATTGATAGATGCGATTGAGAGCGTAAGCTCGGGCGCCTTAGAAGTGACTGGTGAGATTGGGGTTTCGTGACTTTTTTCGTCGTTGTTCGAAGCCATACTCCGTACCGGGCGGACAGTGAAGCTGCTTGGGCCTGGAAAGAGGGGTCGAAGTCTCCAGATTGTAGGAAGGTCACCTCTAATTCTCCAAAGGAAGAGTCCAGGCGAAGTCTTATGGTAATTTCCTTGTAGTCAATATGCGAAACGAAAGCCTGTGACGGTCATCAGGAGAAGGTCGAAGCTCTGCGGAGAGCTGACAGCTCCTGGCGCGAACTGGCCAGGAATGCTTGGCGTACGACTCAGGGCCTCAGGCTATCGGCATGTCGCATGGGTACGTGCAAGGGACAAGGATGCTGACAAGAAGCAAAACGAATACGAAGTTTGGACGTGTAATGTCTTCATTGCTCAATTGGTATCAAATGTATAGAATCACGGCTCTAAGAGGCCGTCAAATATATCAGAATACAGAGTACAAATCGCCGCCTCTAATCCGAGATCGCCTTGATCGCGTGGTCGGCGTGATGGTGTTTCCCTGCGTGGACTTCAATGTTGTGAATCGCGGACTGGAGCGCGCTGGTGATGTCAATGTGGAAGAATGGCCGGTTCAAGCCTTGTACCACGGCAACCTTGACGTTCGTCGTGTTGTAGGCTTGAGACTTGTTCAGCTGGCGGTCAATGTCGCTGGCACCGCTGTCAGATGGGTTGATACTGTCCACCTCCCGGTTACCAGTCTCAACATCCTTCGTGTTATGGCGCTGAATGTCTCGGTTCTGCTTGTCCTCTGCTGCCGCTGCAGCGCTGGACGATCCACCGAGTTCAGCAACGCTGAAAATTGGCTTCCATCGTGAGAAACCGTCATCGCCGTCAACAGATGGGTACCCAAAGCCAGCAGACGCAAGGGCACGCTTCGTCCAACGATTGTTGATGCAGGCAAAGTGCCACTGCACACGATCCGGCGATGCATGCCTATCAAGCTGGTTCCTGACATCGATCAAGTTTTGGACAGATGTGAGATCAACGTTGTTCACAGAGGACATGTCGATGATGATAGCTTTCAGAGTCGGCCGGTGATCATCAACAGCGACTTCTTTGCCACGTCTCGGACCAGGGTCATTCCAAGGTCGATCGCCAGGTCTTGGATAACTGTGAGGGTCCGTCCTTTGGGTCTCCTTGAAAATGACATCAGTCATGTAGTCAAGATAGTGGTTTGCATTGGGGTAGTTGAACCCCTCCGAGAAGCGGTAGATGAAAACTCCCGGGTAAGGATGTTCGGCGTGAATGTTCGGGTTCGAACCGTCACCATGGTTGATCGGCAGGAAAACATTGCGAGCTGACTTATCTGGATCATTTTCGGCTCCAATAGACACGTTCCCAGGCTTGCCTTCCTGTCCCTCGACTAGATGGTCGCCTATGACCGAGTGGACCTTGACGCGACCAAGGAAGCGGCCTTGCGCCTTGAACGCTCTGAAGAGGAACAGAGCCATGGAAGATGCAATCGTGACGTAGACGCCGATCTCGATGGTTGAAAAGACTGTGACGATGACACCAGCAAAGAAGATGATCATCTCTACCGGCGAGACGCGCCAGAATTGGTAGACAGTGTTCGGTGGGGTGATGAGATCGCCAACAGCATGGATGATGACCGCACTGAGAGCTGCGCTTGGAATGTAGAAGAACACTGCTGTCAGAGCGTAGATGGCCAGAAGCACCACAAGAGCGGTGATGACACCTGCGAACGGAGTGCGTACACCGGCCTTGGATTTGATGGCAGTTCGCGAGAATGAGCCAGTCGCAGGATATGCGCCAACGAAAGGCCCAAGCAGGTTTGTAACGCCAATGGCCACCAGTTCCTGGGATGGGTCGATAACATAGTTGTTGACTCTGCCAAAGGACTTCGAGATCGAGATGTGTTCGATGAGAAGTACGATGACGGAGGCCGGAATCTCACTCGCAAAGTAGCTGACGATCTCGCTGTTGACCGTCGGGACTCCGGCATGCTTGAAGCCTCGTGGGACCTCGCCGAGGATGGCGATAGGAGAGTTCTTGGGATTGTGTTTCTTCAAATGTAGGTTCATCAGCCAGCTGATCAGAGTGTACAGAAGGATGACGAAGGCAGTGCGAAGAGTGTTGCAGAAGAACCAAATCTTCTTGCGGTTGGGTTGCTTTCGTGCCAGATAGTTGAATGTCGCTCGAATGAGATAAAGCATCGTCAGGGCGGTCAAGCCGAGGGCGGCGTCCAGCTTGGTGTGTCCCAGGTTCTTGAGTGTGTTGATAACGACAAGATATGTCGATGCCCTATTGTTGACATGGGCTTTCGAGATGCCCATCAAGCCTGGTACTTGGCCGACTGCAATGTTGATGGCAGAACCCGTCATGAATGCAGAGATAGAAGTGAGCGAGATGAGCTCCACCAGCCAACCAGCGCGTATGAGGCCAATAAAGCAGACAATGCCACCAGCGATAATGGCCAGGGCGCGAGCGACGGTTGCAGGATCGATGTCGGGTGCTTCTTTCTGCACTTTCAGCACGACGTTGCCGACAATCGTGGACATGACTGCGACGGGCTAGACTGTGTCAGTGGGAGAGCAAGCGACGGGCTTTGTTCGTGCTTACACCAATAGTGATGTCTTTGGAGGTGGCGAAGAACCAGTAAATCAGGACACCCATGAAGGATGAGTAAAGACCGTATTCCGGAGCAAGCTCCGCAAGCTTTGCGTATGCCATACTCTGGGGGACGACGACGGCGCCGACAGTGATACCAGCGACCAAATCTCCTGCAAGCCATTGTAGGTTGTATCGACCGATCCAGTGGGTGAAGGGGAAGAGGTTGTGGAAGTATTGCAAAAGGTCATGTCCACGTGGAATGACAGAGCGCAACCACTCGGAGGCTGTCGGTTCCTCTTCGACGTAGCTGTCGCCGCTGTCAACCGAGAACACGGACTCTCCCCGTGACAGCTTAGACGCTGGAGAGTCATTGCGGTACTCCAGCTTGATACCAAGCACTTTGGCCAGGCCGTGGCCAAGCTTGGTTCTGGCAGATGCCATGTTGTTGGAGAAGCGCAGCAAAGTGGGCCCAGGAATCGGAGAGGGTCAAGAAGTGGTGATATGTGAGCCCAACGTCGAGACTGGGTCGGAGCGCTATTCTAGACCGGAGAAGACTTCTGGAACAGATACGCCACCTTCAGGCAAGCGAATAACAACAATGCAGCCTCGTGCAGGAAGGCACGATCTAGGAGGGCCCGGATTGGTAGAATTAGAATTGTGCGGCGGCCGTGGCAGGGTGGCAGCAAGCGGTTGCCAGTCAGAGTTCTGATGAGGGCAGTTGCGAAGAATCACGACAGTCCAAAAGCAATTCCAAAGGCTCGGATGGGTAGGTCTAGGCGTCGTTGGCGATCGACTTGGATTCGCCGGCCTGCAGCGAATGAGCAAGCTGGAGGATTGATGGTGTGATCAGGGCTGGTGAATGCAAAAGAATGCTCGAGCCTCGAGGCTGATGAGATTGGCGAGCAGGCAGGGACTTGTATTCTATCTTGCAGCAGCAGCTGTGATCCAGCAGTGCTCTGCAGGGCAGATGAGTGATGACGGGACGCCAGAGATTGGTTTTTCCTCGGGCGTCATCACGCGTGGGAGGTGTCGTCGAGGAGGGCAATAATTATTATTTCACGCATCATCGCATTGCGGTTGAATGAAGAGCGGGTCTAGTGTCGCAGGGAAACGGCTTAGCATGAGCACGCAATAAATGGCTCGTCGGCAGCGCGCTCAGTGCTGAACAAAGAACACGTGCGCCAAGGGTCGCGTGCATTCCATTGCATTGCACCATTGTTCTCCAATCACAACGGCCTCCAAAGGCAAGGCGGCGTGGGTGAAGGCACTGATTCGATCTATGTGGGCGTGGGAGAAACGCGCGTGCGGTCAAGATGTCTGGTCGTTCTTTGGAGTCTCGTCTCTTCTCACCGTTGTGTCAATCATCATAACAAGCATTCCGTGGAGGACCAGGCAAGCTTTGTGATGAACATGCCTCGCCACGGCAATAATTAGAATCAGGTGCCTCGTAAGATCAGGGTGGCAGCCGGAAGCGCAGGAAGTATAAAGCATAATCAGGCGCATCACTGATCAGGCTGGTGTCGGCGGCGAGAGCAGGAGCACGAGCGCCGCGGCGTTGTTGTCTGCATTCCATTTCGCCGTCGCTGCAGAGTGTCGACATCGCGCGGACGAAGCATTCCGTGGTGGAATACGGCATCGCGGTCTTGGTGTCATGTTGATGCGTGGAGGTCGACGGTCGTGGCTCGTGGGCCTCAGAAGTAACGGTATCGCGGTCGCAGCGGTGAGGGACCCCATGTCTAATTGGCAACAAGAGTATGTAACTCTCGTGAAAGTTCAGAAGGGGACGTGTCCGTGTCCGTGTCCGTGTCCGTGTCACATGTCCGATCAGCTTGGCGGTGCACAGAAAGAAGGAGGTCATCAACACCTCGCACTCGCACGCGACGACGCGTCGGCACATCGCTTCGACAGAACCGACTTGACGCGACTGATCGGACACCATCATATCATACTGCTACATCTACTGCCGCCCCCGCCCGCGCCCAACATGACCCACCTCGACCAACTCCTGCAAAAGGCGCCCGACAATGGCGACCGCATCGCCGGCCTCGACGAGCTGCGCCGCGTCATTCTGCTCGACGGCGTGCCCTCAAACAGCGATGGCATGGTGCGATGACCAGCCAAGACAACTACCTCTGCCTCCCGACCTGCTCGGCTGACGTCCCTCTAGTCAGAATTGCGAATCTACGTCTGGCTCATTCTGCTCAACGCCCCGCCATTGCCGACGAGCAAATACCTGGACTTGGTCAAACAGGGAGCATCACCCGCCTACGCCAAGATCAGGAATGACACTTTCCGCACCCTCACCACCGATCCTCTATTTCGTCGACGCGTCACCGAAAACAGCCTGACGCGAGTGCTGAATGCCGTCGCCTGGAAACTGCACGAGCTGGATGAAGCTCGCGTCAAGGGATGGATGTCCCCTCCCACCTTGGCCTTGCCCAAAAGCCTCGATGGCAGCGAGAACATCTTCCATTCACCAGCCTCAGTGAGCACGCGCCACGGCCTGGGCTCAGTCACTGGCACCGATGGCTCTGAAGCTGGAGAGCCTACTGCACACATCGGCTATGTGCAGGGCATGAATGTCATGGCCGCGCCCTTCCTCTACGCTGCCCGCAGCGAAGCTGAGGCTTTTGCCGCCTTTGATCGCTACATCAATTTCGAGTGTCCGGGCTACGTGCGCGGCAGTATGGATGGCGTGCACAAAGGCCTTGCCCTCGTGGACCACATCTTGAGCATCGTGGATCCGAAGCTCGCGTCGCATCTGACTTCCAAAGGCATGAAAGCAGAGATCTACGCCTTTCCAAGTGTGCTCACCTTGTGCGCTTGCACCCCGCCCTTGCCGGAAGTCCTGCAGCTGTGGGACTTTCTGTTCGCTTTTGGACCGCATCTTAATCTGCTCTGCATAGTCTCGCAGCTGGTGCTGATTCGTGACTCTCTTTTGAATAGTCCAACGTAAGTGTGCGAGATATTGTCTTCGGCTAGAATGCGGCTAACATCGGCCAGACCCAAACCAGACTTCAAGCCGTTGCGAGCACGCAAGGTGATCGACTATACGGTCAACTTCGCGCGGAAGATCCCCGATCATCTGTACGAGCAAATGCTAAATCACGCAAAATAACTCAACTTTGCATGGCCCTTGCAACACATGTACGAACGCACCGCACCCTACGCCATCTGCTTCCTCTACATTCCATCCCTACTCAAATGGCGGTCTGCATCCGGCAACAATAATTATCTTGAGACCTGTCATAGTACACGCGCGTCACATTGCTCCGCTCGTGCCGGAGGCTCCGCGCGTTCGAATAGGTATCAGCCAAGCAACTGCATGTGACCAAAGTGCAACGGACGTGCTGGTTGGTACTGGCACACATCCTCAGAATGAATATTGAAGGAAACTTCTTCCCACGATTGAAGCGATGCCATCTGTTGGTCGTCCACAGCGACAGTGCAGAGAAGCACGACTATAAGCTCAGCTTCGGCGACTCATGACAACGAGCGTCCACTTCCTCCTCCCGCTGCCCTCTCCACGAAAAACCGCGCTTGGCGGCTGACATTCCGTACACGTCAACACCGCCAACGAAAGCGTTACAATCGGTAAAGCCGCCATCTTCCGGCCAGATGATGCTCAATTGCTGCGATACAGGGACTTGGCTTTGCGTTGTCTAGTGCGCAGCTAATGCGCACCTCGTCATTCCATAGCTCAGTATCCAGCGAAACACGCCTACGGCTTGGAGGGTTTCCCCCGACGGCCCTTCATTGCGCTTCTTGAGTCCGCATTCCATCGTTTGAACGCGAGGCATTGTAACCGGTCGGGTTGGAAGTGTAGATGTATGACACTGTTCGCGATAACAGGGTTTCGAATAATGCCAATCATTTCAAGGTCATCTCGTTGGAAATACGCGTTGACGATCTGCAAGAAATGCTCGTCGCGGGACGCTTTCAATAGTATGAGCTACGCGTCGGAGTGACGGTACACCTCCGGTTTGCAGCAAGTCGCAAGCCCGGTGGATCAGCTCGGCTGGCTGGTAGCTCAAGCAGAGACATTGTACGATGCTGGAGCTGTTCTCCTTGCAGCGCAGCAAAAAGGAATTGTCGGTTCATTCTCCACCAAGATGAACTCGACGAGTCCTCGACCGCCAGCGAAAACCATGATGCACGACGTCCAAAGCCCTCAGCGATATCCGACGGCCACGTTCTCCCGTGTAGCCGACAACCAATTGGAAGGGAAAGGAAGGGAAGGGGTGATTGATCGTCTAGCATGCCAACCACGCTAGAATACGTAATAACGTGAAAAGCGACGCTAGAATACCCATCAACTTCATCCCATCATCAATGATCTCTACTCAGCTCCCCATCCTCTCCCTCCCAAAAACCTTCTCATCCCTAAACCTCCTCTTTTCATAATTCCAAAGACCTTCTTCTCCTGGAACATAGACCCCATATCCGCAAGGTCGCTTTTTCCACTTCTCAAAAAAAAAAGATTTTCGCACTTTCAATTCGATAAACTTCTCAAGATTATTTTCACCTTGCACATCACTCTCTTTTTCTTTCCCCCCTATTCTGCATATCAAGGCTTGGTCTCGTCGATGATGCTCTCGTCAATTTTCTTTTTTTTTTTTGCGGCTCGGCTGTTTCACAACTTGCAACTTCTTCCCTCGAACCAGAAGAGAGAAAAAAAGATTGTGTGTGCTGTGATGTATACGTTCTTGTGAGGATTGGGAAGATGAGATTTTGTGGAGGTCGTGGATCAGGAGGAGGATTGAGATGGTGTGCTGGTGAAAACTGTTGTTTGGCTGATGTGTGAGTCGTGATTGCCTCTTGTGAGGCATACAAGGCTGTGACTCAGATGGCAAGGACGCGGCTGAGTAGCTTACCTTCCCGAACTATCATGTGTTGTTCGGTGATCAGCCCGGCTGGTCTGGAGCTTTCCATGCGATAAGTTGACCAGTCGTACATTCTGGGAGTGAAGAAAAGAGCATGACTGGTGAATACGAACTTCTGCGATTCACAAATGATCACGGATAGTTTGGATAATTTACTTGTAGCATTATTCCGAAAGTTCTTCATTCGTAAAGAGCGTCCTCGCCCCTCTTCGTGAAAGAGGGTTTAGTCCCGTCGACCTTTCTACATCCATTGTACATCATGTACATCCATCAAGTCTGCAGCTTGGAAATGGACCTCTGCTATGCAAGCTCTATGGGCTTACAAAAGGTCAAGGGAGATTGGAATGCTGATGGTGTTGCCGTTGAGGACGTCGCAGAGAACAACCTTTTGTCTCATTAGCCAAGTGGTCTGCAGCAAAGAGAATGGATTGATGCTTCTTACAAGACCTGCAATCTGGTTACAGCTTGTGTACTTGTCTGGCTTGTCACTTGGGCACGACTGCGAAGCTGGTCAAAATGTTAGCGATAACTATGCAGCGTGGCAGTCGCCATCATGAAACAGTGATGTGGGAAGCGTACGTTCGCAAGACGAGCAGCCGCTGTGCTTTCCCTTTGGACAGCAAGCACCCGATCCAGTGCGTGCAAAGATATTGGTAGCTGCGTCTTCAACTGCGGTGACTGGCGCCGCCTCTGGGACAGCAGCCGGGGCAGCGAGAGCAAGGGCGCTGAGGCCGAAAAGAGTGAAGATTGAAAGCTGCATCTTGAAGTAGCGAATTTGTTGAACAGTCAAAGGCCTCTGGATTGGATGGTGTTACTTTTGCTTGTAAAGCTATTGATTGCTGTGATGATTTGCTTTTCGTCGCAGACCTGACCTCTATTCTTATAGACAAGAGCTGCGCAAGATCTCCCGTCACCGGACGCCATCAACGTAACACTCAGTCCCAGCCTCCTGGAGAGGAATGTCCAGAGAGGAATGTGCGGAGAAGAATGTCGGAAGAAGCGACACGCGAATGCCACATGTTGTCGTTGAATCGTTGGTGTAGGTTCTGACAACGATTCAACGTCTGTTTCATGTAGTCCATGTGGCTTATCCGTGTCGAAAACTCGATGCCTACGAGCTTGTCCGTAAAGCAGATGCCAGAAGCTGACAGCGCATTGTCAATGCCTCGCCGTCTGGAAGATCCAGATCCGATTGCCGCCCAGCTTTTACAGCGACGGATCCTCGGCATGACAACGTGTTCTGCTGCAGATAATGTCGCGCTGTCCCCAGAAAATCATGCTTCGTGGCTCCAAAGAAGCGTCATAGCCTTCGCGAAGAGTCAGACCTGAGACGGGTTAAGTGAAGGAGCGATTAAGAGCAGGGGCGAGGGGTGAAGTGGGCTGACGCAACCCCGGATAAGCCAGATCCCAGGACATCCCAGCTATTGCATCTGAAAATCGCTTATAAAGAATCTATAGATATCTGTAACATCCTGCCCGTGTCGATCAGCGCTTGAAGTGGCTTACGAAAGGATGCGCCGAAGTAATATTACATAGAGCCAAGACAAGATTCGACGTGGCCCAACTGGAACGGCGTCTCAGTGGCTCGGCATTAAGTTCAATGAGTCGTAGGGCTGAACGAAGAGCGAGTGCTGTGAAAACGATCAACGCATACCAGCTCAGGATTCCGGATGGGTCACCGAGTCGGCCGGAGGCGGCAGTCGAAACTTCCATCTGAATGGTAGTCGGTGACTGCTGCGGTGTTCAAAGACGCCTAATCTCGTGAATTCTCGAGTACAGGTCTTGTGCGCGAAAGGAGCGCTTAATTTCGGTACCTGCGACGAACATCATATTCCTCCGTTGTGCATCGCTCTGGATGGTAAGCGTTGCGGTGAGGATCAGGCGCCGGTGCCGCGAAGGGCCTCCTTCAATCCTTCAATCATAATGTGGCCGCGTGTTTCCTGCTTCGTTGTCTCGGTCTGAGGAGGTCCAAGCATTTGTCAGGCAGGGCCCGAAAGCAATCAATGCGAACAACGCGCGTATGTGGCTTGCTGAATTATAGACTGAAAGGGGCCGCAGTTCGGGAGAGTAGGATATGGAGCCAGAGGATGCTGATATGCTGATCGCATTGCTGTTCAGCGCTGGACACTCGTGGCGCTTTGAGAGATATGGGGTGTTCAGAGTAATTCATGGCGATGATTCGTTCGGCCACAAGCATTGTGGTCATACATGGGCCTAGCCGGAAAATACATGTATGCCAATGATGACATGCGATATATCATTGTACGAAGGAAGGATGGATGGAAGCAGGTGGTGGTGAGTGCGCAGGGATCGGCGTGTCGGCTTGATGGCGGCCCGTGCATCCGAAAGTGAGGTCAGAGGTCGGCCAGGAATTGGTCCAGCTCCATCACCACCTTGTCAAGCTGCGTACGACGATGCTGGCCACGCAGAGGCTGTTTGGTGCGTCGACACAGCTTTTGCGGCAATCCTCTGCACTCAGTCGCGCGCAATGGCGAAGCGTGCAGCGCCAATGGCACCGCCAGCTCTCCTCAGACTCCCACTCCCTCAGAGCGCACCAGCCTCCGCGAATAGCACACCTCCTGCGCTCGCAAAAACGATACCAGTCCACAACTGAACAGGCAAAGACGGCGGCGACCAAGGCTGCTGTTGGCACAGCAAATACTGGATCACGGCTGATAGCGTACATCTATGGCACTGGGCTGGTGCTCTTGCTCTCCTTCGGCTACCTCTACATCACCGATACCCGCGCCAGCCTACATCAATACTTTGTCGTCCCTCTCATAAGGCTTGTCTACTCGGATGCAGAGGATGCGCATCATGCTGGCGTTCGCTACATCAAAGCTCTTTATGACTTCAATCTTCACATTCGGGAACGAGGCAACCAAGATAAAGAGCTCGGAGATTTGAAGGTGGAAGTATTTGGCCATGTTCTCCACAACCCACTGGGAACATCCGCGGGCATCGACAAAGATGCTGAAATTCCAGATGCGCTCATGGCATTGGGACCTGCAGTCGTAGAAGTTGGAGGCACCACGCCACTACCGCAGCTGGGCAATCCGAAGCCCAGAGTGTTTAGAATCCCTAGCCAGAACGCCTTGATCAACAGGTACGGCTTGAACTCTGAAGGAGCAGCCCATGTCGCAGCACAGCTTCGTGAACGGGTACGGCACTTTGCGTATGCCAGCGGCCTTGGGCTGGGCCCTGACTCGGAGAAGCTGGTTCTCGATGGCGAGGCCGGTGTCCCTCCTGGCAGTCTTGTACCAGGAAAGCTACTGGCTGTTCAAATCGCGAAGAACAAGACAACTCCAGATGCCGATATTGCAGCGGTCGCAAGAGATTACGTCTTCTGTGTCGACCATCTTGCCAAATACGCTGACGTCTTGGTTGTGAACGTGTCGTCGCCCAACACGCCAGGACTCCGAGATCTACAAGCTACTGCTCCATTGACTGCCATTTTGTCTGCTGTAGTAGACGCTGCCAAGTCTGTAGACCGAAAGACTAAGCCGGCCGTCATGGTCAAGGTGTCGCCGGACGAAGATACCGACTCACAGATTGAAGGTATTTGCTCAGCAGTCTGGGCTTCGGGTGTAGACGGAGTTATAGTTGGCAACACAACCAAGAAACGACCCGACCCACTGCCTCAAGGATATGTCATACCTGTGAAGGAGGCAGCGACGCTTACAGAAGTGGGTGGCTATTCTGGCCCGCAGATGTTCAAGCGTACTCTCGATCTCGTGAAGAGATATCGCATAAATCTCGATCAAGGCCCACAAGAGGATGCTCGAGACTCAAGTCAAATACAAAAGCAAGTGCAAAGTGTATTGGAGCCGGTGGAGGACAAGGACAAGAGTGTTGACGAGACTGTCACGCGTGATCAGCAGCGACTGAAACCCATGACTTCTGAAGCCGAGCAAGAAAGCAAGCAGCCTCTTGTTCAGATACCGGATAGACACCTGTCGGAGCCCACACAGCCAACCAAGAGCGTTGGTAAAGCCTCTGAGTCACATCCAGTCGCTGGGTCGTCGCCTAACATCCTGCCAACGACAGAAGGCAAAGCGAGCTCTCCTCGCGAGGCTGCTGAAGGCGCGGTCAAGAAAGTCATCGAGTCTGCTGAGAAGCCCACGGAAGCTGTAAAGAAAGTCGCTTCGAAGGTCTCCTCACAAGCATCAGCTCCAAGCTTTTCTCCAGCCTCAAAAGTCATTTTCGCCTCTGGCGGCATCACCAACGGCGAGCAGTGCTTGGAGATTCTAAATGCAGGAGCAAGCGTCTGCCAAATTTACACTGCAATGATGTACGGTGGCGTCGGCACGGTGACGCGAATCAAATCAGAAATGCGAGAAGCTATTAAGGGAGTTAGAGATAAATCCTCGTAGACTCGTGCGGCAGCAAGACAAAAAATAAAGCCATAGATGACGGGTGAGATTAGATCCCTAGACACAGGTGTATATACACTGTACAGTACTCTACCCAAATCATCGATAGATTCACAAAAGTCGCTTGTGGTAACAAGTGCAGCACAGCGTGTTGGCTCAAGCATCTCGATCATTTACTTCAGGAACCTGAACAACCCTCAAACACCAAAAAACCCTCGCTAAGAACAATCAACTTCGTTCCTCAATCGCTTCAATTCCATCCAATTATCCCCTGCCCAACCAAGATTTGATTTTGAATCAACGACACCCTCCTTCCAATAACCCCATCCCCTCCAACTCCCAAATCCATTCTCGGCGCCAGGAATTCGTCCTTCGTGACTTGGAATTCGTGCAGTACTGATGCGTCTAGCGGTTGCTGAGACGTCAGATCACCGTCACGATGGACTATGAAGTGGCCTCCGCCGTTCAGGCCATGGACGATGGCCGTCGTTTGGCTTTCTGAGTCGGTGTTGATGAGTCGTAATGAGAGTTCGTGGTGGTGTGAGGATGGTTGGGTGGGTTTTAGGATTGCGATTGTTCCGCCTTGGGATGGGCGGGAGGATGAGCCGTTGCACATTATGTATTTCTTCGGAGAGGTGTGTCTCCTATCAAGATTCTAGTCCATCTCGGCCGATTATTCTTGTCATAGGACTGGTCTTTGAGTTTGTATGTTGTGGTCTGCCGTCTAGGTTCTGTCAAATGAGTAAGTAGTATGCAACCGCACGTCAAGCGTTTCTAGCGAGTCGCGGTAAGTAAAGAGTGACACGCGCGTGCTATTATGTACTTTGATGTCCAACTGGGATGGTCTTCATTCCGTACACGTGACGAGATTGAATGAGTGCATTTTGAGCATGTTTACTGAGCACGTTTCTCATGTGGAAATGAGACTCGCGGGCGTCGAAATCTGCTGCCATCGCGATCGATGTGCTTTTCATCGTGGCTTCTCGGGAGGAATTCAGGATCGTTGGCTATGGCTGAAGGGTGTGTGAGTGAAAGAAGAAGGAGAGGTTTGGCGTGGTGGCTTATATAACTACACACGTGACAGCGCAAGGACCACACAACAACACTGCAAATTTAGCAGCGAAAGACACCTGATCAAGAACATCATCCTAGCATTTGATCCCAATTGCAGAGGCTTGACTCCTGCGCCCGGCTATCTGGAGGCATCAGAGCGGGATCGAGAAAAAGAATGGCGTGAATCGAGAAGTCGACGCTGTGATCTGCAGCGCTGCCCTTCGGTGGGCACCTTTAGTGATTCTTCACTATTTAGTGGCGCCGAGAGGACAATAGCAGGCTATATACTGCTATTGTAATCGGTTTCACGAAGAGCGCCTTTGCGCGGAGAACCTAAGGGATATATAGCGGACCTTCTTAGTACTTACAACCTCTAGGCCTATCTAAGAGGGTCGGATAATACGCTAGCTAAATGGCTCTTTATATATAAACCCCCCGACGGAAGCCTACTAGACTAGAGCCCTTAGGAGCGTCTAGAGGCCCTTTAAGGCCTACTCTCCTTCCCTTTTCTCCTCCTCCGCGGTATAGGTATAGCGGCGGTAGCGGCAATACTAGCTATAATAGGAGGGGCCTAGTAAAGAGATTTTTAGGGGCGTCCGAAAGGGGTACCGAAATTAGGGTTAGCAGTACCCCTTAGCGACGGTAGAATCGCCTAAAAGCCTCTAAAGTTGTATTAATAAAGATAATAGAACACTCTCGTAACGTAAGACCTAGCCTTAGCTATACTTTACGCCCGCCTTCGAGTATTTAACAATCTTTATCGAATTTATTAGTTACTAGTCTATCTAAGGAAGCTAGTAGACGCTTACGCGAGAATTAGCTAGATACTACTAGTAATAGTAAGTCCGCGAACGACTTAGACGCTACTCTAAGTCCGAGTAAATAGTTAGAGACTAATGCCTTCGTAGCAAGTTTCTTAAGGATAGCGCGCTAAGATCTAGGGGATTAGGCCGATAAGCCCTAAAAGGTCGAGGACTAACGTACCGCAAAGAAGGAACGGAAGAGTAAGAAGAAGGAGAAGCGGGAGGCTAATAAGGCTAAGAGAGCTAAAACTATTGCTACCGAAGGCTCTAATAGTAAGGCTCTAACTCGGCTATATAGACGTAATAGGTATACGAGCCTAGAGCACCTCCCGGCCGACTGCCCTAGCAGTAAACTAATCTCTAGTAAAATAGAGGTTAATAATTAAGCTGCTACCTAACCGACGCCGCGCCCGTTAACCCCTAACGCTTCTGCTTTTAAGCCGTTACTAATTAGACGAAAGAGGGGAACTACGCCTTTAATAGTAGGCTCCTCTTAAGTAGAAGTACCGAGGAAGAAAAGTAAAGTACCGAAGGATAGGCCCTAGAAGGCCTACTCTAAGAGCCGCAGTCGCTCTTTAAATGTTAAGGACGTTACGCAGTCCTTATTAGAGACGTCTGTCTTAGGATCGAGCTCCTCTAGGGCCGCTAGCTCTACTACGGCCCGACTAATACCGGCTATTTATAAGCTAAAGGCTACTCTTACTAAAACGTCTATAAGGGCGAAGAACGTTTCGAGTAGTCTTTTAGATAATACGGCTTATTAGTATACTAATAGAAGGCACCTATTTATTAGGTAGCCGTCCGCTCTATCGGACGACCCGCCTAAACGACTACACCCTTTTATTAAGGCGGCTTTTCGATCTAGTATAGTACTAGTCGGTAGGATCGAGGAGGCGGTATACTAGGTAGGGGGCTTTGTTATCGGTTTATACCGAGTTAAGGACGCCCGGAGAGCGTTAGGGAAAGACTTTAACTATAATAGTTATCGGATAGAGGTTAGTCTGTTTTAGACTAGCGGACCTAGGATATTCTACTATAAGAACGCCCCGCCCTCGAGTAGTTACCTAATTGCTACTACAATTGCTAGCCTTAAAGAGCGTCTAAAGGATATCTCCTTTTAGTTAGGTTAGTAAGTGTAAGAAGGGTTATGTTAGTAGGTAGATAGGGTAGTAGTAAATCAGTTTAGTATTCGATAAGGATCTAGGAGGAGAGGGAGGAAGGTAGGAGAGTTAGCCTAACGCTAAGCGCTAAGCCCTACCTAAGGCATCGAGACCCTAGCTTTACTCGGCCTAGTCACATGCCAATTACGTATAGCCTCTTTAGCCCTAATACACGCTTCCCTTTTAAAGGCCGCGCCCTCGTAGCCTGCCTATATTCTAATCCCGACCTCTATTGCCGCTAACTTAGCAAGTCTAACAAGCTGCTTAGCCGCGCTAAATTGAACACTTAACTACCTAATTATATAACTATATCAAACCTTACCTCTAAACAATACAATATACAACTCTAACTGCGCTATCCTTATATATAATAAAGTGAAGGGATATAAAGCTATAAGAATTGAGGACTATCGACCAATTACAATACGAGCGTACCTTCCCTACTATAATAGGTAGGTATACGGGATATTATAGCACTGCCCCCGTTCTAAGTAATGTCGTACCGAGTTCTCTACGTCTACTCTTAAAAGACCTAGAAATGTCCGCTTCCGAGGGTTGTCCGTTCCGAGGGATTATTCTTATTATTACGAGGGCTATTATTGTTCGTAGTTTCGCTAGCCCCAATTAGTTAGGTTTAGCAGCCTTCAATTGTCAATCTTATCTTATCTTTTAAAAAAAACACAGCTCGTCTAGTTTCTATAGGTAAAGGCTATTATAAGTGCAGTAGTAGAGGTTCGCCTTACTTAAAGGGTTAGATAGATCGAGGAGTAACCTATTGTCCGCAAGATCGACCCCGGCTAGCTTAGCTCTATAGTTTTGCCCTTAGTTAGTCTATTAGTCGCTTAATCTTTTGACTTAGTTAAAGTTTTAACTTAGCCTTAAAGTTTTAATTAAACCTTTAATAGGCTTAAAGCTTTGATTAAAGTTTTGATTAAAGGTGCCTTAGGCTCGTAGTGTAGGTAAGGTTGTGTCTATAGGCGTAGCGACAATAGCAAGTAATGTTGACAATAGTAGCGCTAGTCGTCTTAGCGCTAACTTTACCTTCTTTAACTAACAACAACTCGGCAATACCGTCACTAATATAGCGGTATCCTTCCTTTCTTAAACAGTAACACACCCCGCAACACTGTTACTAATATAGCCGCGCCGGCTACGCCGGCCGCGACGATTGCCTAGGCCTCGAGGCCTCGACGGAATAAGGGAATAAGAGGGGGACCTATAGGGCGCGTTAGTAAAGAGGTAGAATCCTTAAAAGAGTAGGCAATTAGTTAACGCGTCGTAGCGCGCTTGTTGACACTCGGTGCGCGTTTACTATAGTAGTATAGTCTTATTGTCCTTTGTTACTAACAATTGCTTGCTTCTAATTAGTTAGCTAATAGCACCCCGGGGGTAGCATTAATCCTAGGCCTTAGTAGTAACATTATAAGCTTTTAGCCTTCTTCTTGTTCTTTACGCTAGTCTAATACTTATCCAATAACTCGGTTATGTCCTTAAAGGAGTCTTTAGCTTCCTATAAGTCCTATTCTAGTGAATAGCCTTACTATCTTAGTAGGTACTCCTTCTTGCCTTGCCTAGTCCGGTGCTTTAGGATACGTTCTACAGACTATAGCTCTTCACTATCCGCTAGTATGTCTTCGTGTTTAGTAGGGGCTTTATCCCCCTCGCGTAGGTAATATAGCTTAAGGAGGGATACATAGAAGGTATTATAGATAGTATAATAAGGAGGAAGCTATAACTAATAGGCCTATACGGAGGAGCCCTTAACTTCTCGAATACGGAATAGACTAATGTATCTTAGTGCGAGCTTAGGCCTTGTTTTGCTATTAGGTAATAGGTGTTTGCGGATACGGAGGTTCTTAGTGCTTAGCATAACTATATCGCCTTACTTGAAAGTTATTAGCGTATAGTGTTTGTTATAGTAGGCCTTCTAATATGCCTAGGCCTTTGCTAGTTTGTTAGCTAACTTAGCGTGAATCTCTCGCATCTTTTAAACCCTCTTAATAGCCGCTAGTGTTTCGGGTACTTAACGCGCTTCCCTTTCCTTGCGCTCGGCCTCGAGCGACAGGGGGTCTTGTAGTATAGCAGCGTTCTAACCTATTATAGCTATATATAGCGAAACCTTAGTAGATGAGTGTACACTGTTGTTATATACGAATTCTGCAGGCTGTAGGAGGTTAACCTAGTCGTTAGGGTTCTCGTTAATGTAACTGCGCAGGTACTGCTATAGGGTAGCATTCTGCCTCTCTATTTGACCGTTAGTCTATAGATAGAAGGCTATTAATAGCCGATACTTTAGTCTTAGCTATAGGCATATCTCGCTCTAATAATAGGATGTAAATGTCGTGCCCCGGTTAGAGACTATCCCCTTAGGGGTTCCCTAATAGGTATAGAAGATATTGCTCTATAGAGCCTCTACTATGTTAATAGCAGTCTAATCCTTCCGTGCCGGGATATATCGAGCGCCTTTAGTAAACCGATCTACTATAACAAGGATAGCATCGAAGATGTCCTTACTGCCCCTACGTTTAGCAGGTAGAAGGCCTGTAATAAAGTCTATTATAAGCTCTACAAATGGCTTGTAAGGGATTAGTAATAAGGACAACTCGCTAAAAGGCTAATGTTTTAGTGCCTTAATACGTTAACACACGGCATACATGTTTACGTAGTCCTTTATATCCCGCTTACTATTTAGCTAGTAGTATGTGCGCGATAGTAACTCGTACGACCTCTCTATACTATAGTAACCGGCAAGCTTAC